TTCTTGCACAAGCAACACCTGTGATTAAAACGCTTCACCTTCTTTGGGATATTGAGACAGTGAGGTGCTTTTTTAAAAAATTCGGTTAAAAAGTGTCTCTAAACAACGATTACCGATGGAGGTTTAGCGTGTTCTAGCAAATAATGATTTTTTTTTTTTTTTTTTTTTCACTAAAGCTTCCATTTTGAATATCATCATCTCTAATGAGTTTTTCGGCATTGCGAAATGAAAATTTGAGAGTTAACTCTTCGTTTCATACTTTTATTTGTAAAATAAATTTATTATAGGATCACAAATAGGTTTCATGTATTCATTTTGAATTACTTTATATGTTTGTCAAATTATGTTCAGAAAGTGGACTCATCGTTCTATTAAATGCTTTATAGTAAATTAGCTTTCATTAGAATAAATTCTCCAACTATATTAACAATGAATATTTTAATAAAAAAATTCTAATTTTATCGGGAAGCTGAAATTTTCGATTTTTTCTGTAAATTATGAAAATCCAGACATATTTCTAACGGGTAAAATGCCTGAAAAAAATGGGTCCTGTTTTCAGTTACAGCAGTATTATTCACATAATGCTTTCTGTTGTTTTGAAACCTAGAAATTGTAGATAGTTTCCATGACCTCAAAGACATTTGAAAACATTTATGCGTGATTCTAAGATCTCCAATTAAAATGAAATTAAGATTGCTTGTACATTCTACAATTTTATGTTCTGCTTACACATCGCATATGATTGTTGCTAATTTATATCGCAGGCTGCATATTTCGAAGATGTTCATTTTTAGGTATAAAGTGAAATGACATTGTAACGAGTTTTTCATTTTCGAACTTACACTACTTTTACAAACAACTGCTTTGGTCCCAAAATGTTTCTTTTTTTGACTATATCATTTACAAACTTCCCATCCTACAAAAAACGTTTTTGTTATTCACAGGAATTCGTAAATAAAAAAACTATTGATTTTCTATTTATTTGTATGTTTTGTTTCACGTGCAAGGTTTTTGTTTTCGTAGTATTTTGAAACAAAAACTCTGACTTCATTCATTTCCGAAATGTGAGAGCGAAAATTGAAAACTTCACAGTAACTTCAGATAAGAAATACTAATTTAAAAATCTAATGTCACAGTTTTAGCATGTGAAAGTTAACAATACTCATGCGCAGATATTACCCTAATGCAGAATATTAGAATAGCAGTGCAATATCTATTGTTTTAAAGGTAGCAGATAAAAAATGATTTACGCCTGATTTGCAGAAACATGAATAACATAGGATACTTACGGTAGCAAAGGACTCAAAGGCATACACTTTTAGATGTTTTAATTTGTCATAAAAATAATCGGCAACTTAAGCTTCAACAATAAAATAATTCGAGAAAACTAAAGCCCTAAATGGGAAAACTCTAAGGTAGTGACAAATTCAATATATGCACCAACGAAACTCCTTGGATTGGAAGTATCTAATATATTTAGAAGTTGTAGTGTTTTTCTGAAATCGATCTAGACATCATACGTGCAATCATTTTTGTATATATGCCTTTTTTATGAAACAAATCAAGTCTTATAAAAACATTAGGGATTCATAATAAAGCACTTATGTGAAGGTCGATAGAAACGAATGCGAAAAAATTATACTTTAATGTTAGAGTAAATTATTTTTAAAACCATAGTTTTTTTATAAAGTGCTCTTTATTTGTTTAAAATAATATTTAAAACTTTACATATAAAATAGCGGAATGGCTGAATATATTTGCAGAAAGGAACTTTAATTTGATGTTAATTAATCGTGTTCAAATTCAGGAAAGTCTGGATATCTTTGTTTAAAATCAATTACTGCCATGGCATTGAAAGATCAACAGCAGATTTTGCTGCTATGTTTCGTAATTTGTGGACTAAAAGATTTAAATGGTTGAAATGTTAATGCGTTTCTGCCTGGTCATACGGTGGCTTTGCAAATGCGGTCAAGAGCAAGAGACTGACGTTAATTACGGAAGGGAAAAGTAAACGGCTGCGTCAGGGATCATAAGAGGAGATATATCTTAAAAGAAAAGTGTTTTTAGGTCTCATTTAGTATCAGTATATCAGGAATTAAAAACTTGAATGGAGCTAGAGTTCTCTGTTCTTCACTGTAAGTCAGTAATGTGTACAAGAATGCACATGGTACCAGAATGGAGACAAATTACACAGGATATAAAAGTTTTGAAGAGCTCTTTTATGTATTATTAAATAGCTTAATAATATAAGTATGCACTTTTTGGTTTATTAATAACACATATCTCTTTATAATTGCAAATTAAAATATAATTATCAAATTAATTTAATGATTATATTTATTTGTTTATTAACATTACATTATTACATTGTTTTCATCCAGGAATTTCCTCCCCCCTCTGAGCAATACATACAGGTACATGTAAGTCACGAGGCTGAAAAGCACTGCTATAAACAAATAGTCCAACCCAATTCCAGTTGAACAGCGCTAATTAGTGCTAATTGTTTGCGGAAAGTATCCTAGTTTTGAAAAGCTTCATATCATCTAACATAAAATTAATTACTTAATCATCTTAAGAATGATTTTGTGTGCTTATGTAATTGAATATGGCAAAACATATGAGGTTTGGCTAGGCATGATTTCATGGAGAATTTTCTAGGGAAAATGGGCTCTTATTTACATACCTTAAGGAAATCCATGAAAATGCTTACAGAAAGTGGTAGGCTGTAGGAGGGTTCGTTCAATCCATTTGTTAAATTTGCATCTAATTTTCAAGTGCTCCCCACTTTTTTCTGGCTAGTTTATACATTCAAAGGAAAATACATGTTACTCACTGAACTTTGCACGTTTGAATAACCTTTAAACCCGATGAATAGTATATTTTTGTGACAAGGCGAGCTTTCTGACTGTAGAATCTGTTTTACATTTAGCGAGCTTGCGCTGAATAAGTTTATTCGCTATTTTATGTAATTTCTGCAATATTTTGTAAGTCTTTTATTTTTTTAAAGATATTTCCTTTTTTATCACAAATATTTGTATTTTCTGTTTTTCTAACAAGTGAAACATTTAATTAGATTCTGATATTTTGTTTTCATACGATAAAGTACGAAACCTTTGTTAAAATTTTCACAGCTCACTGTAGTTCAGTGACCGTATTAATGTGCCTTTTTTTTCTTTTAATTTAAATGCTTCACGAATAATTAGAAAAGGACTGAATTCTCTTCTTATCCTCAAATTCTTCATTAAACAAACTGCATTTTCAGCTATAATCAGGTGAAATAATTCTCTAAATATAATTCAAAGCAGAAAAAATAAGGTACATAAACGGCTTGGAAATGGAATTAGCACTGATATTTTCTTTAAGAAATATAATGAAGCTTACAGAAAAGTCTACGAAGTGAAATAATTCCGTAGAATATTTTATAACTCTTCATGATTAAATTGCACTCACTTACACTTTAATGTAAATATAATTTAATGTATATGTGTGGATGTGTGTGTGTGGCTTACTAGTGGTTGAGCGGTCGTTGAACACTGATAGATAAATCTGGGGTTCGAATACTGGTGAATGGGATGACTGTACTGGCGTTTCTGTGATCTTCCCCATGTGTAACGTGTATACGAGTCAGTTTTGCTTAGAAAGTTCTCGACCAAGGCATCCTTACCCTTAGGCAAATAGCCGTCGAGTGCTTTGCTATAATCAAACAATATATATAAATAAGAAGCTTAAAAACTGTTATATTTTATGTTTACTAATAGTATGTTATATATATAATTATCAAATATAAATTGATTGTATATAATTTAACCCATATGAAGGCCCTAACAATTGTTTCTCACTGAAAGTCATAGCCCAAAAGGAGAACAAGTAAAATTGAACTTCAAATACGTATACAATATTGAAGATAATACAAAAAATACAAATATAAAAATAAATTATATATGTGTGAAACCAAACTAACCATTTATATTGATATTACATAAATATACTTATGTTAATGAACATTGTATATTAAAGATATTTTTTCTTGATATTTTATACCTTGTTCTATATTTTGCTCCATTTATATATACTTATACATAGATATATATAATTTAAGGATTCCATATAAACTACTATATATAAAACCCAAAACTGCATCAATAATGCATTTTTCAGTATTAACTTCATTCTGAAGAATTTTCTGCAGTCTAGTTTGAGTAATTTTATTCATAAGTCTCAAATTAAAAACAATTTAACGTTTATATGTCATTAGAAAATTAACCAAAAAGCAGTGACCACAATGTAACTGAAAAACAGTCCTTAGACATGAAAAGTTTGAAGGCCATTTGGGTTACGACTATTTTCGTAGATACTCAGCTACTTCGCATACATGTAACATAGCATTCAAAATGAAAAACTCAATATTTACTACAAATTCACTGATGTAACAAATATCTGTTTATCTACTCCTACTTAAAAAAAAGATGTTATTTGCCTTACAGTTTATAGTTCAATAATACATTTTCATTGTACAAAAATGGATTCATTCGAAGAATTCAATTTGTATTTTCCTCTGTATAAAAACTGAATGTAGAGAAGTTAGATGTTTAAATGACTCCCACATTTTCTCAAGACCAGGAGCAAGATTATCCCTCCATTTTAGCCCCCCCCCCCCCCCCCGTGAAAAAAGGGGTTGTAAATTTACGACCTGACCGCATATAGGGTGATTTCGGTCATACATGCAAGATAAGCGAGACTCTACCCTCTACATATTTACATAATATCTTAGACGATATCTAATACGTGGCATGTAATTATGGACGGAAATTACAGCCAGTTACCTTTCAACACAGAAATGCAGTGGGGCTAGAATGAATGAAAATGATAAAATAGTAGAAGAAAATTAACGTCTATTAAGTTAAAAAACGTCTTAAATACCTCTTCACAGGGAAATTAAAGTGAATATTTAAATATGATACCAGAACAAATGAGTTATTTTTGAGTATAAAGTTTCATACCATTTTCACAGTTGTTTCCTGCATATCCCAAATGACAGTGGCATGAATAATAGTCCATTCTTGGCTCACAATGACCGCCATTCTTACATGGTTCCTCTACACATGAATGAAGACAATTTGCAACACTGATCCCTGACAAAGCATCATCAATAAGTTTCAATGTTCTTCCATTGATTACAACCTGAAAAAAGAAAAGTTTCAAATCACAGCAGAAGGACTACATTACATGTTAGTTCATTTGCCATGAAAGCTACATTACGTATTACATATAAGCAGTTACTCTAAATAAAGGAAAGCGTGTAACATTAAAACTGAGAAAAAATGCAAATAAAATTTTACCTACATAGATGAAATAATTATAATTAGTTCAAAGAATAAAAACTTTTGATTGAAAACATTTACATGGCGTACATCCTAACTGAAAATTACATCATGAAACGATGATGTTTAATCGAAGTACTCATTAAGTACTCATTAGCCTTCGTTTCAAAATATGTAAACATTGTAGTGACGACCACCTCCTTAAGATAACTATTTCTAAAAGATGCTAGTATTTCTGGGAACGTAATAAACATTAGTACTAAACTTCACCTCTCTAAATCTGTCGCTATAAGAATTAAACACATCCTTTTGTTAAAAGAATTACTCACTTTTCCCAGAAATAAAATATAAAAGTTAAAGTTACATGGTTAAATATTGGTTTCTGGTTGAACAGATCTCTTTTCCTTACCGATGAAATTATATTTTAAGAGAATTACCCTAAATTAAGCAAAAGACACATTACCTTTTGGATACAACCAGTGAACGATTCTGTGATGGAGGCCTTTACAGCAACATCTCTTGAATCATGTATCCCACCAACATACATGTTGAGAGGAAGAGATAACTGAGTGAATGCTCCTGGCGAAATACCTTTAACTGTCGGCTGTTCATCAACTTCTAATATACCATCTCTACCAGTTCTAGAAATGAAAGCTGTATGCCACACACCTACTGTCAAAGGTTCTTCACTCCTATTGATTGAAAACAAAAGTAGTATAAAGTACAATGCAGAAGGCATTTTTTTCTTAACGTAGATTCATATTACACATACTTTGACACAGTAGAATCCCGAAAACTTAACTCTTGATAACTTGACGTTTTCTAAAATTGGTGTCCGCCGAAAACATCGCGGCAAACACATAGCGCACGAAAACATCGCGAAGAAAACAACGCAAGGCGAAAACATTGTAGTACAAAACATCGTGGGAGAAAAGAAAGCAAAAAGTGAATACCGCAGTTCTAAAACAGCCTGGTACAAAATATCGTGGTCGAAAATAAAGCGGTTAAAAATCTTCGCAGTTTGAAAATATCGTGGTAAAAAATAAAGTACCTACAAATCATCGCACGATGATAACATTGCGCATATGCGTTTTTCAGGTTTTAAAAGTTGTAAGTGCATTTTCGCATAATGATTTGAGAATGCAAGAAGGAAAGAGGGATATTTTTACTTTTATATTTCATATTTTTGAGTTTCCTTTTTATTCTTGAAGTGTTGTTAGCATTCTCACCCTCTTTCCTTTTTGCGCTCCCGAATCATTTTGCGAAAATGCACTTACAACTTTTAAAACCTAAAAAACGCATATGTGCGATGTTATCGTCATGCGATGATATGTAGGTACTTTAATTTTTACCAGAATATTTTCGACGACGATGTTTTTAAAGCGAAGCATTTGAAGCGTTTTATTTTCGCCTACGATGTTTTAGAACTGCTGTTTTCTCTTTGCTTTCCTTTCTCCTACGATATTTTGCACCACGACGTTTTCGCCTCGCGTTGTTTTCTCCGGGAGGTTTTCATCCGCGAAGTTTTCGGCTGTAACCATAAAATCCGTCATCCAAGAGGAGTGGATGGGAAATCGAGTTTCACTTTCCGCTCCTTGATGCGTATTTAAATTCTTTGAACTGTTTGGTTAGAGGGTGATTCAGTTCTTGGAAGGCTTAGTACTGGTTATTTCTTTAATTTTGAGGAACTAATTTCTTTGTTCAAATTACCACCGCTTCCAACTCTTAAAGGCCTTCAAATTTAGGATAAGTACAAATTGTTTTTCCTACCGACTTTCAGTGAATTTGCTTACATGGAAGTCAGACAACTGTGCCGTGAAAATATATTACAAACAGAGAAGGAAACAAAGTTACGATGGAGATCAAATTAGATATATTAGAATGCTTGGATTAAGGCGAAAGTATAAATAAAACGATTTACGCGAGGACGCGGACAGCATTTGGAGGCAGGGGGGGGGAAGGATCAGAAATTGAGAGGTGGAGTGTGAAACGAGTTTGAAAGGAAATTTTAAACAAAAGCATGAAAGATGCAGAACACGAGAAAGTGAGCAAGGTCCTGTATGTTTGGTTTAGATGATAAGAGCAGAAAGAATGTCATAACAAGCCTCACTGCAAGAAAAACTTTCATATTTTACTTGCAACTTGAGGCGAAAAAGGCTAGATTTACAACACGCCGTTTGCTAAACAAATGGAAAAAGTGGTGCAGAATCAGACAGTTGAGTATTTGTGGGGAAAAACTTTCCGCTAATGATAATTTTCACAAGAGTCTCTATGAGCCAGATTTTATCTGCGATGAGATTGTCCTAAAATTTCAGTTGCCATTAAGAATTCTTATATCTGTGGATGAGAAATCTGCTTTCTCCGTAAAAGAAGTGAAGAAAGGCGTCAATGCAACTGGCGGACACTAACTGAAACTGGTGCTTAAAAAGAGAAGGTGAAAATCTGTGTATTTAAAAGTACGGGAAGTAGGTAAATATGAGTAACACCAGCACTGACCAGTTTGTTTGTTTCAGAAGCCAGTCAAATGCATGGAGGCCGATGCTATTCGCACCACCGGTGCGATTAGCCGCTTAAGCTATTCGCACCAACATTAACCACGCATGCGCATTGAGTTGTCAGATCCGTCAATAGAACCCAATTCTAGTGAACCTTTTTTTTTTTTTTTTAAATAAAAAGGCGGGTTTCTACCTTGGCGTAGTTTATCATTTTTTAAACGTTGGTGACTTTCAAAAGTTTACAAAGGAAAATGGGTTCCTTTTTTTATAGGAGCACATTTCTTTTTATTAAAGTATATATAAAAAAGGACAGATTTTTATGTTCACAATGTTTATCCTTTTCCTGAACGGTTTAAATAGTTTAAATGACTGATTTGGGGGGAAAAATCTTGTTTACATTTTTTGTACTTCTTAGAATACATTTAGCTTTAAAGATGTGTTTTGCGCAATCAAGACTTTAATTCATTCCTCTTTGAAAAATTTCGTCCGATAAAAAATACTAAAAATTAGCCAGAGGATCTCTGTGTAAAAAATTTAGACATGAAATAAGTTAAAAGCGATTATATCAGCTATTAAATTAATTATTCTGTATGCCTGCTTATTTTTTTATGGAAATACTTGGAATTTTCAGAACACAAAAAGTGCTTGAAAGAACTTTGAAATATTAGTACAAACACATTAATCAATTAAATTGAAATAAATAATGGGATGTAATTTAAAAGACAAATAATTTAACGTAAGAGATTTTGATTTAAAAATTTGCACACACAAATGATTTATCATATTTTGTATGGTTTTATTTCATAAATAACTTTGATTTTGAAATATGGCATTTGAACCTATAAACCTGTGTGGATACTGAAGATGTGATGAATATATAAGAATATTATCATTTTCAGTAAGTTTTCTAATTGAAAAATAAATTCTGATAGTCCTATGTTATAAGAATAGGGTCTAAGTTTGCATAAAATTTCCTCTGTTAAATAAAAGAATTTAAGTAATTTCTGTAGCCTTTTTGTCACTACACTAAAAACTTTTTAACTAATTACTCGTCCTCGCTTGCAATTAGAACCATCATTAACTCCCTATTTTATCTAATCATTTCCCGAACATTATCATGTATATAGATTGACCTCGTCTTTGTAACTGATAATTATTACTTGCAAATTATTCTCTTGCTGGTGAACTATTAACAATGAATTAGGGTTAACAACCTTCGCTCTCACTACCGCCTGCCTTACGGAAATCGGCGTAAAACCGCTGGTACCTAGGCTGATTGTGCGCATGCGCGAACGTAGGTGGTGTGAATAGCCTGTTAGCTATTCGCACCGTCGGTGCGATTAGCCACTGCGATGCATGGATGGCTGGATGACAGAACGGAAGGATTGCTTCAGTCAATAATTCGTTTCTTTCGTGTGAAAAGTTACAAAATCCCAAAATCTACTAATGAAAGCAGTTTTTATCCAAAAGAACGCCTCTTTCACACTCTAATGCCGAACAACTGCGAGACAGAGATATTCCTCGTTCCAAATGTAACTTCGTATTAAGCAATAAATCAGCAATGAAAAACATTTGCACGCATAGACTTCTTTCATACCAGGTCTTACCTTTGAGGCAAGAATCGACAAGTTAAAAAATAGACTTATTAAGCACAGTGTGATATATTGCATACTCTTAGGATGAAATTTAGTCAGTAAGTTTTGTTTGATGCTGGAGAAAATGATTTGGCAGTTCAGAAAACGAATTTCGAGAAAACAGAAAATTCTAGGCTAGCAGACCAAAGAGAATTCCATTCAGACTGGCAAGGAAAGTGTTTCCGGTAATGTTGAAGAGTCGATTACGGCAAAATGAGACATATACCTTCTAGAAGATAGTAAAATTATTGCACTCATGGGAGATAAATATTAGAGGGTAAGGAAGTAGAAAATAATGAAAACGTTAAGAAGATGACAAACAGTGAAGGAGAGTAGGCGATTGAGAAAATTTTACGTTATTTGTGTGTATTTAATTATGGCAAAGCACACTAGGGCTATCTGCCTAATAGGAGGGATGCCTTCGTGGAGGAATTTCTAAGGGAAACTGGCTCGTATACACGTTACATACGGGGAAAACCACGAAAACGCCCATGCAGCCAGCCCGTTCGCGGGATTCGAACCTCGGACCGAACTACCAGTGTTCAGCGACTTTACCGCTCGGCCGCTGGTGTGCTCGCGTTATTTGAAGAACCAAGATACTTCTGAAGGACCGTCGCCTACATGATGAAGTAGGAACGCAAGAAAGAATGACTGATAGAGACAATCAAGCATCACGAAATTTTTCTCTCGAAAAGTCTAGTTACTCTTCTGTCAATTAGGTAATTTTTTATGTCTTTCTTTTCGTAGCACAGTGATAATTTTTCCCTTTTTTGCTGGATTATATATTTTCTTTGGCTGTTTATGCGTAAAAGGCTTTATTAGATGAATTTTCTGCCAAATATTAAGTGTTTTCTAAAATTTTAACATGGATTATTATTTTGTAGTCTCGTATTATCAGATGGGTCACCACGGATTCTGCGAAGCTCTTCACTAATTTTTTCTTTCGGTAACTCACTAATTTTTTTATCCTTACCGAGTCGATTGTACGGGGCTCTATATTAGCACCAATCAAATTTGTTGCAGAAAAAGAAATCATTGCATAATCTTATGAAATAAAAACAGGAGAAATACTTTTTTTCTTTGGGTACGGTTATAAAATTTCAGTCAACATTTTTTTTCTGCATAAAGTATTATAAACGCATAAATTAGAGTTTCTCAAAATGGACAATATCTACAATGTGGACCTTGAGGACGTGTGAATTATCCAAGAAGCCCTGGTCATAAAGGGGGAGGAAGAAAGGCTTTAAGCTATTCCAATTGCATGACTAATGCGCATATAATTTTTATTACAAACTAAAATATTACTAAAATATTATGGTACCTATTACTGCGCTAATAATATTTCGTAAGGAATTAACTGATGTTAAATAAATCGATCTTTTTACTACAATTAACTAATTTATAAACTAAATTACTGATTTATTTAATATATAATTATATACTAATTCAGAAGACAAACAACAAAAATCAGCGTTATATTTACAAGATTTCCACAGGACTAGTTTCGATGGTTTTACCGAACCATCATCCTCAGCTGCAAAACCGCAAATGAAATCTTGTTCATTTGCGGTTTTGCAGGTGAGGATGGTGGTTCGGTAAAACCATCGAAACTAGTCCTGTGGAAATCTTGTAAATATAACGCTGATTTTTGTTGTTTGTCTTCTGAATTAGTATCTATTCCGCGAGTTATTGTGTCTTAATATAATTATATGTTATTAATTAAGTATTGTATGTACACACATATAAATGCATATAAAAATGGAAGATGATTTCTTTCAAACTTTGAGAAACACTGGTTTAAAATGTTAAGATTTTCATTACTATTACTACTAATATTGTTTAAAGGAAACGTTATCGTCATCGTATGTTGCTGAATTCAGTAATTTCCCCCTCAAAACATGAATTGTCTTCTCTATTTCAGATGCCTCAAAGGTAAAGCACTTAACGACACAATCACTATCAAAGTAGTGAAGATACGAGTTAAAAGCGTTTATATCTGCGATGATGTAATGAATAACACCTCGGATCCAATAGCCTGAATGTCTGATATAGACACGGTCTGTTTTTATAAGACCGTTTTGATGCAAATTTAACCCTTCAACTGGTAAGTGGTGCACGATAACTTGTCACCTAGCTACGGCAGGTCTATTGAAAAGCTTTCGGCTTCTCTCCACTCATCTTTAGGGATTCCATATTTTTTCGTATATGTACAGCACAACGGTCCGGAAATATAAAGTTACAGATGCCAAAGTCACTTGCTGTTATTAAATACTTTCAGTATACACTAAAGTATCAGTATTATAAAATATCACATAGTAAAATTCATTTAACTTTTTATAAATTGTTTATGAACAGCGGAAGATATCAACATTTTATTCTTTTACTAGTTTTGCATTTACTGAAACAAAAAATATAAGATGTGATCATGTATCAGAAGAAAGAATGAAGAACAGCGATCAAATTTTATTGCATTATGAAAAGGCAACAAATTGCTAAAGAAATACATATAAGATCTAGCTTTTTTAGATTAAACTAAGTTAGATCTTACAATGAGCTTGGCGAAATCTCGCTCAGGCGTGAAGAAAATGCCAGCATAGAAGAAGGGTGAAAAATACCCCTTTAAAATTAATTCTAACTGTCGAACAGAAAGGCACGTTCTTCGTGCTTTACAATAACACCAACAACTTGCGGTGGAACTTAAATGTAATATATCCATCAATTCAAGTCTATCTGGAATACTGCTGGATTAGCACATTAAGTTATAGCTAGTTTAGGTTGACTCACAAACCTAACAGGCATGACCACTATCCGAAATAGCCAAGAGACATACTATTTGCGTAACAGCAATGTCGAGAATGAAACGTGCGCTGGCTAGTGAAAACACGCTTTCTCAGATAAACTCAGACACTCACCCGTTTAAATAATCAGTTCACTTAACTTTATCCTGGCAAGGAAATGCGAGGGTAAAATGAGAGGTTCAGGAAAGGTATTAAACTTAAAATAATTTGTTATGCAAAATAAGGGAAACCCTACACACTGAGCTCATTATTCAAACGGCAATTAGCATTTATGCTGAATATTTCTCATCCTTCTCAAGGTATTGACTAACAAGTTCACGTCAATATCGGACTACATTTTTTCATCAGTTTTCTACTTTATTTCAAAATTTCAGAAATATTCATTGGTTCACCAGCTTACCAAATAACGGAGTAGATAAGACAGAGTTCCACTCAAACCCATATACGGTCCGGACGAATGAAAATTTCGTGGTTTTCTTTCCATATGTAACGCAAATACAGAGGTGTGAAGAATAAATCGTATCACTTTATCATTTTGAGCAACCTAATGCAAGCCTGCGCGCTGTAAATGGACGATTTTACTTCAAGAAAAGTTAAAATTATATTTTACGTTACCTGCGCATTATGAATAACTGTTTTATCTTTCTGGGGGTAAAACGGCTTTCCTTAGTGAATTATTACCATTAGAAGCAGTGTTAGGAGACAGTTAAAGTTTCATTTGGGTAGCTAAGTTCTCGCAAGGAAAGCCTCGTGCTAGCATTAAGTCAAGGCCAGCTCTAAGCATAGGTGATATAGGCAGGGGAACTAGGGCGCCAACTAAATTGTTTTCACAGTTTTCAGCTAAGTAAAAGTGAATTTTTTGAATCATTAATACGTTTAATTTATATGGGGTGCCAACTAGCATATTGATCGCCTAGGTCGCCGAAAAAATTTGGAGCCAGGCCTGCATTAAATGAAGTTTTTCAATTCGTCCGCATCTATATAGTTGATGAAATTACGTCAAACTGAGATTGTACACGGAAAGGCCGGCGGTAATTGCAGAAAATCATCTATAATATTATAAGACCAAAATCTTTTTTGTTGGCCCTGAAAAACAGAAAAGAGATACCAACATTTCTTTTGAGCTGCACAGGATGCAGATTGTTGACAGAATTACTGCGCATAAATATCTGATTCCAAAGCGGATAGTAGGCTGCCGCAAAGGGAAAAGGGTTTTGTTCACTTCAAAATTGAGATCCCTGAACCTAAAGTATGCGAAATCAATTACTGAACAACGGAAAGCAGTTATTTTCGCTGGAGAGTCTCAATTTACCCAAAACAGTCAAAATTGTGCTTTACATACGCAGAAATTAGTTGACATGAGTTTATCATCTGGATTGTCAGCACCTAAGTCTATACAGAAATTCGATAGCATACGGTGAAATATATTCACGATTAATTTGGATACGTATTTTGAAGCACGAGCCATAAAGCCAAATTTTGAATCTTACGCCACTTATATCTTAGACCCCCCCGAAAAAAAAGGCCACAGGACAATAACATCTATATGTTGAATTTGCTTGGTAACAGTCCCATATTCCCCAACCTTACGGATAGAAAATGTAAATTTTCTTCACAGAAAGAAAATATTGAGCTTTGATATTAACGACTAATAAAGGAACGAAAATTTCAACAGCAGTTTTCTCATTCTAGCATGGTGCATCCACTAGATGAAAAACTGGAAACTTCAAAGCTAATTTTATTTCTGTTTATTAAACACTAGGACTCCTTAGCATTAAAATTATTTTTATAAAACTCTCTACCTTATTTTGAAATACTGTGATTGGAAATACATGTCTAATATCATATTTAACAAAATAAAGACTGGTGCCCTGTTTCAAACAGCAGGCATGAAGATATAAAAACAGTACACATTACACATACATTTTACAGAATTATGTACATGAAGAATTTTCTATTATACCACTATGGGCATTTGATTTATGAACATCTAAATGTTTTTTGAGAATGAAAAATATAGATTACTTTTTAGGAGATGAAATAATTAAATTATGATCTCGCCGTGCATATAGTTATATTAATAATAATGTAAGCATACATCAGCAACTCATGTAAAAAGTTTCTAGATTTACATCTTGAAGCAAAAATAACACTAGAAATATTATATAATTTCTGCCAACACTCCAACACACAGTAAAATCATAGCAATACAACAATGATTTATTATGTTTCATAGATTTCATTGCTGCAATCATTTAATAACACATAATAATAAACTAAATCAAATAATAGCATAATAATAAATAAAGCAAATAATGAAACTAATAATTTCTAGGCAAATATTCTTTTTGAAATTGCAGCAATCGTAGTCTAAGATATTCTGGGCAAGGATTAATTGTATACTTTGTTATAATATTATCACTCCGTAAATGCGCTTTTATAGTTTTTGAATGTAAGTGGTTATATTCTCCTTTATATGTATTATTTGACATTCTAACATGATTAAAAGTTAATAACCAAATAGCGCTTGCAAATTAATACAAATAAAGAATATTTCATACAGTTATGAGTTAAAAATGAAATAAGCCAATGTCAAATCATGTGATTTATAATGACACTGAACATAGCATAAATATAGAACAAATATTAATATAATTAAAAATTAAAACATTTGCTACAACTAAGCATTAAAGATAAGGTCAGAGATTTATTAATTACCTTATAACGGCTACACCTGTTCCAAGATCAAATCTGAATTCAAGGTAACCATTAACTAGATTTAAAGAAATAAAATCGCCCGTTCCATCCATTTTGTAGCCATTGTAGAACAGTACTCCATTTGATCTGTAAGGTTTGAAGACGATCTGAAGTTCAATAAACGACAGAACTGTATTACCTAAGCCAGGGTACTGTAGATAAGATGAGCCATTAAACAATGGAACTATGAGCTCCATGGCTAGAAAAGAGAATAGTATCTTTAAGATTAACATTATATTTTTTTACTGTGGGAAAATACTTTTTTCGAATAAAAAGGTAAGCTGTTAAAAATCTTAAACAATTTATGATTATTCTACGGACATTACAAATGAAAATATTATGCAGTATGAATCTTTACGAGCTTTCCCCAGCTCTTTTAATCATTATGTAAGCAGAATGAGTATTTAATAGATTATGAATACCGAAAACATTGGAAAATAGGAACTGCTTTTAAAAGCATTTTTATATTTATACAGAATTCGATATTTAGTTTTCAACGATTAAATAGTCACTTCGTCTAATAGTAATTAAATTTGAAAAGTTAAAAAATGTTCTCTAAAAGTTTAAAAAAAGTCTGGAATCCTTTATGTAGAAAGAATGAATAAAAGTGGGCATATATTGGTTAACTGATATGTAAATGTCTTGCATTGTTTGATTTTGACAAAGCACACGAAGGTTCCCTACTTCAATTTTCACCAAGAACATGACAGGCAGTTGACATAGGGAAAATATAGAAATGGAATGGTAAACTGAAAAAAGAACGCTCATGCCTGACAGTTAACCTATCTTACTGAAAAGAAAAAGATCAAGAATGCGTTCATTCCCTTCATCAAAACTTCAATTTAAGGTGTAGTATTGGAAAAGAACGTATAAGAATTCATTTGGCATCTAGAACGTTATGCTGTTCGGAGGGATTCGTCCAAAAACCCTTTTCGCTCCATGGAGGTAGGAAAGGGAGGAGAGGCCAACCGGCGCTAGAAGTGAAGCACTGCTTTGAAGCTTGGGTCACCAGATGGGGTGTTCTTTGTTTACATTCAGAAGCTCGCTTGACAGGATTCTGATAGTATTTCGACACACGAAAGTTCCATAGAAATCGAAAAAGGGAAAACTTTCGCATGAAAGAAAGATTCGTAGTGTGATGGATAATAACAGTTTGTATAGTTTAGTGACATTTACGCAAAAATCACATCTTGGTTATTTTTCGATAACTAACAACAGCGATTTTGATTATGAATTTGTTTTATAAAATTCTAAGCTGTTGCACTACAAAAATATAGATTTTAAGAAAAATGTTATGCTTAAAGAATGAAAAATACCTTACGGTACATTTAAAATTGTATACGTCTTTCGATACCCTTAATAATACATATAATTTTCATTCAAATTATATTCATATATATTTTTTATGTAAAACTTTCGGTGTATGCTAAATTAGTGTAAATTACTTTACACGAAAAATATAGTGAATGCACAGAAATTAAAGATTTGCACATATCGGAAATGAAAAATAGGAAATATGTATGGGTATTTATGCATGTGCTTGCAAAAAGCATGTATCTGCCTTTGACAAAATACTTAAATATTCATTAAATTATTTACAAATGCATTTGAAATGAAGAATTTATTCACTTATAAACAACTGTGAAAGTACTGTGAAGAAATCTAATTATTAAATGTATCTAATTTATAATGATTATAAATGTTATCTAAATATATAATAACCTTAATATTGAATTGTAAACATAAATTGAAATCCTGTTGACAAATACGTTATAAAACTATTTAAGCAAGAATTGTTTGCATTGGAAAGCAATCTGTTAAAAGGTATTGTAAAGCAAATGCTATGAGATGCGCACTTAAGAACGTAATAAAGTGTTTTGGAATATGTATTGTTGAAATGAAGGGTAAAAAAAATCTGATAAGTATAATTAAAAGAATTATTCCCCTTACATTTTATAATAACTCAGTTACAAGTTTTAAATAATACATAAAAAAAAAAAAAAAAAAAAAAAAAAACTTATTTTATTTCCTTTCAGAAATGTTCAGAGAAAGTCAAGTACTATTTAAAGTATTTCGCTAATTCCTAATAATTCTCTAATTTAAAATGAACCGAATAGAGCATTAATTATAAATTGAACTTACATTTTTCCGATTTAAAAGATGCCTCAGAAGCCAAAAAATCATGTCATATTTAAAAAAGTATTTTAAAAAGAAGCTCTATAAATAGAAAAGAAATAATGCACAATTTTAATATTAATAATACAATAAACTTTGATCTTAATTTTTGTACCTTAACCGAATAAAATCGAATTACCTTAATTTTTTTTCCTAATGTAATTAACGAAAACTTGTGAAAATATTTCAGTCAAAGTAAACCATTCTGAGAAAACTGTCTTGTGAAAAGTATAGCATTTAATTCCGTTCAGAATGAAATGTTGTTAAAAAATATGTTGTTTTCATATACTTAGGACTCTGAAGTGTTGTAGAAAAAGAAAATATATACATTTATATGTATATTTACGACGTAATTACAAAATATTTACATCCGAACGCGTCAAATCCCCTTGAACTCAATGGTAAATGACCCAATGTTTTGGTCACCACGTAGGAATCGCCGGTGCTTCAGAGCAGGGTACGGGAGAAACTTGTTTGGGGCTACTCCATCTTACTTCCTACCTCCATGTTTCGCTCAATTTTCCTTCCCCATTGCCACCTGCGGAAAAGTGTCCTTTTCCCCAGTTCCACCACTGCCCTCTTAATGTCGACCCAACGTGCCAGACAGGCAGGTAAGAAAAGACTTCCTACCTCCATGGTGCCAGATGGAGGGACGAGATGAAAGTATTCCCCATCTCTCTGCGGTGCCCTCTCACCTGAAGTCAACTTTCCCTCCCTCCATCCTCTAAACAATTAAGCACGTAACGCTAACTCTCACCCAGCAATCTCTTGGATTATATAAGTTAAACATAATGTTGTTGTCAATGGGCCTATATAAATGTAAAATTGTGTGCCCTAAAGCGATCTCTTTCTCGAAGAATATGAAGATTCGACTTGGGATGACAAAGTGCCTATGAGTCCCAATACTCAAAAATGCGTTTTCGAAGAGTGTTGTCGTTGATTTTATATTATATTAGCTTAACTGTGACTCAAAGAATAGATGTGAAAAGTTTTCGATGCTTAGGTGCTGATGGGAGGTTAGAAGCATAATAATCGGGCATCAGTTTAATTCCTGTGGTCTAATCTGACAGTTTTTTGTTTACGGAAACAGTACTTACACAAGTATGACAGTTATATGGAGACCCATTACAATTTAGCTGTATAACATCCCTGGCGACCCAAAAGTAATTTTTTCCTAACAGTTATTACTTAGGGAGATCTACCAATGCTCTCCGAAGGCTAAACCTTGCATGATCGCATTGACTTTCCTAGTGGTAGTGCACTTTTCTGCCACCTGACCTTACAGATCATTATGCGCCTCTGCCACATAACCTTACACGTCATCATGCGCGAAGCATATGGTAAAAAAATAACGTCTGTCTTATTAAAATGAAAATAATTAATTTAATTGATGAATGAAGATGCATTATTTTGATAAAATATGAGAACATGAAATCACATGAAGGAAGTTTAAAAGCTTACTAGAAATGACTAAATGATAAAGGCAGACCGTAGACAATGAGTGCTATATAAAATACATATAATTAAAACACATTAAAAGCAAATGATAAAAATCTAATCTGTTATAAAAATTCAAATACTTTAAATTGAGATATTGACCTATAAAGTCCGTTAATATTAAAAGAGGATTAAAACAGTTTTGGCGAATGTGATTAAAACATTAACAGCTAATTAAAATATAAAATTATAGCAAAGCAACAACATTGTGTTTTGCGTAGATGTTACCCAATACTCAATCGATTTCGAGAGCAAACAGGAACAGGTCCCTCTTCATCAGGAATAAAGAAATCTGCAACAAAGGGAAAGCCATTGTTGTATTTATATCTAAAAGGAGTAAAGCACCATCTGCCGATAGAAATAGTAACGAAAATTGAAAAATTCAGTTAATAAAATTTTTAAAAAGTTAGGCAGGACTGGAAGTCATATTAACTAAAGAAGATAGTTTTGTGAATGTGAAAAGCTTCAAGAAAATCCAGTTCACCAATGGAAAAAGGTTTTTGGGTAATTTTCGCAGATCCAAACTTATGACAAAATTTCCAGCTATGATTAACTATGGAAGAGGTATCAGTGTCGCCTCATCAGGCATAAGATTCGTAGTCCTTGATGCGAAACTTTAATGTTCTATTAGTTTGGTCGATATATCTGAAACCACACTTCAAACATGAAAATTGAACTTCTGAGGAATCCTTGATATTTTGTAACTGACAGAAGGACGAAATGGAACCACGAAAAGGTTATTAATGCTACTTCTAATCGCGAATGTTTCTTTAATTTTTCTTCTTTCTTCTGATGTTTCTTTGATGGCGAAATGAATTTTTTTAATGACCACGAGAGAAAATTCTAGGTCAACGGCATCTGATATTCAACGAATTCTCCAGAAGTTTAATTTTGAAGTCATTTTTCCACGCCTATCAATCAAATACATGGTTCTATTCTTAAAGATTCCATTTCTGACTTTAATTCTTGGGAAATTTATAGAATATCTTGTCAGTGTGGTTTTAGATATATCGGCTAAACTTTCCCACCAAGAAACAGGAATCACACGTCCGAAAAGCTTAAATTAGAAGTCTTCGATAGCTCATCATAGTTGGAAATTTAATCATCCTTTTGACCTTGGGTCTGCAAAAATTATCCAAAGAGCTTATTTCAGTGGTGAATAGGATTTTCTTGAAGCTTTTTACATTCGTAAAGAATCCCCTTGTTTAGTTAATGACTTCAATTCCAATCCAGTCCTTCCTAAAACTTTTAAAAGCCCATTAACTTAACTTTTTAAATTTCATTACTATTTCTGCAGACAGATGGTGCTTTTCTCGTTTTGGGTATAAATACAACCGTGGCTTTCCCTTTGTTGCGGATTTCTTTGCTCCTGATAAAGAGAAACCTGTACCTATCTGTCCTTAATCGATAGAATTTTGATTAAAATCTATGGCAAACACAAGATTCTAGTTTGTGCAACAAGTGCATTCCAAGCTTTCAACAAATATTTATTAACAGCATGAAAGTGACCTATTCTTACATGAGTTAAAAGAACGTTTTCTTTCCGAATTCTGGTTAACTCCCAACTCTCTACTCTTGATTTTGATCTTTTGTAACTTGCTATTGAAATGGAAGTCTCACTGCAGCTGCCATCAGCTCATATTTTCTGCTTGATGAATCTTCTGATATATATAAAGGGAATGGGCTTGCTGGATATTTCGACTTCAATCTTTGAAGCTATGTTTGCAATTTTTTTCACTTTTATGTGAACATATTAGAGGACCCAATAACAAAAAAAAAAAAAAAAAAAAAAAATTATGATAACCTCGACTTCGCAATTCTAGATTCCGATTTAATACTTTTATAAGTATAGGGTTTTCCCAGTAATGGCTACCACAAAAATGGGGAAGCCAGATTCTCGCATTACTGCGAAGCAGATAGTGCGATTTATGGTGTGAATGGGGATTCAGAACTATGCTTACAGTGTGTCATCAGGCCATTTCAGAAACCTACCCAACATACCGCCCAATCCTTACTGCACACCCTAAAAGCTATTCAGAATATGAAGTTATGAAAGCCACAGCCCACAAAGTAAGTGTCCTCCGGGAAGCGTAAAATGCTCTAATTCAAGCGACCGTATCCAGCCGTTCTTCATTTGATAGCACAGAATACTATTGATACAGACATCTTACAAGAGCCTCATACTAACGAGGTCATAGAAACGGGACATTGTCAATAAGACGACCTGCTATTCCTGTATATAATGGCATTCCTAACTCCATAGAACTTAAAACCATTGGCCACATTATTTCTACTAATATAAAAAGCCTCTTTTTTGTCATAATCTCAGTCTATTTACTACCAAGAAGATGCGCTGAACCATTGCTTATGAAACAGAACACATATAGTCATTATCTAGCCATGCATCACATCATTGTTGCAGATTTCAGCGCCACATGCTTCATTATGGCTGAAGCAGACAGGCAGCAAAGATTATTTCTAGTTCTAGATTTTGCGGCCACAAAACATATGATAATATTACAGTTGCGGAACTGTTGTACAAAATTTTGGGCCGTCAGTGCCAAAGAATATAATGTACCTAATTCTAGCATTGCTCAATACAGCTACCTACATTTAGACTGTTATCGAATTAGGTTTCCGAGCAACCCCCATTGTAACACAACATGACGGACGGCAAAACTGACTGTACAGCAAGGACAAATCTTCACCTTAAAAGAGCAAAATGATGCTTTCGCAAAGATGAAGCATCCAGGAATGAGCACTTCCTAGATATCGCACGGAAAAGAGTTAAGCAGCAAACAGAGGCAGAGAAACTAGACTTTTGTAAAACATTCTGCACCCAAACGACTGAAAGTTATAGAGCTTGATATAGGATCATATGAAGTAAAATTCAACGAACTATATTTATTAAAATTTCTTAGTTACCCAACGCGCAATCCAACGAGACTGCTATATTTTACATAAAAGTTTGACTTCTCTGTTTAAACTAAGTGGTTTTGAGCAAATTGCATATACAATGCAATAAGAAGAATTATGTAGAACTCTTTTCTTAAAAATCTTTATATATAACCAGTTATCTGTTGGAGACTACGACACTACTCCTGTAGAAATGAAACAATAGAAACTATATTAGTCTACAAAGATGAAAATGGCTTCCACTTCAGTCTCATACAAACTTATTTGCTTGCTATATCGGCAATGGTCAAGAAATATCCTGGCTTCATTCTTCTCTACTTCCTGGTCAGGTTATTTGAATATAGATAGCCTTAGGCAGATAAGCCCTTATGGCTGACAAAGCCATAAGGGCTTATCTGCCTAAGAGGTGGGATGCTTTCGCGGATGCGGAGGACCTTCTGAGGGAAACAGCCTCGTTACACATGGAAAAAACCACCTCTATCGCACGGCTCACAAGAAATGTAATAATGTAATCTATAGGCGACGGTACCGATTCAGAGCAGGACGTACAGCAGAGCACTCCATAGATAACCTCGGTATCCATAAGCGCAATAGTGTGTACAGAGTGAGAATTTCAACTGATATTAGCAGCTTAATGAATTTGGGAATTAAGTAAATTAACTAATAACTAAAATTAAGAAAACAACTCATCAGGAATGCGAAATTTGGTTAAATATTCATTTCTCCATATGCAGGAAGAGTATATTTTTCAACTGATTTCATATACATACAGTACATCACTTTACCACGATAAAAGCATAAAATAATAATGCAAGTACAGAGAATAATAAATTAAATTTATATGGTATTTCCTCCCTCTTTTTCGCATATCTTCGTGGAGTTAATGGAAGAACGCTCGACGCGTATTCCGGAGGTTAGAAGTTCAAATCCCGGCGAAGGAAACTTCAGTTTCCTGACATAAAAAAATTTTAAATGACTCCACAAATGGCGCCCGAACTAAAAAGTGGTGAATACCAATTTATAACTATTAGGATTTGGATACTAGGTCTCCTCATCCCCAATTGCCCTTTAAAAGGGGAAAGTATATAAGGTATTTTCTCCCTCTTTTCTGCAAGCCTTCGTGGTGTAAATGGAAGCACGCTCGACACGTATTCGGGAGGTCCGGAGCTCGAATCTCGGCAAGGGCACCGCGGATTTCTTCAGTTCACTGACATCGAAATATTCTAAATGACTTTACAAACTAATGAAAGAAAATTTTCATAATATCAACATACAAGACAAGAAATGTAAAAATTCTGTTTTATTTTGCAAACTTAAAACAGTTCTCATACATTACGTAGACTAATATTAATATGCTAAATATTTTACCAGTTTCACACTGATCTCCTACGAAACCCAGAGGACAAAGACAAACGCCATAATCAGGACTAGTTGCAACGCATTGCCCACCGTTCAAGCACGTAACTTTGCTGCAGACATCAGCACTACATTCCTCTAAATATAATTTAAAAAAATGTGCAAATTAAAAGAAAAGCATAAAGGTTACTAAAATACAGAAGAAGATAAAATTATTAAAAAAAAAAAAAAAAAAAAGGAATATACTGAGTGAAATTTCGAAAAGTCGAAAACAGAGACATGTCGACAGATTTTAACACCCGAAAAAAATTCCCAAAAGTATACACCACACACTAAAAGCTATTTCTTTCTTATTTTTGCATTTTCAATTAATTTTATAGATTTACTTATGTATTCCCTCTCGTTCTTTAGTTAAAGCAAGTGTCTCAGTCGACATGTCTCCGATCGAAAATAACAGAAAACAAAGCATTCATCTTATGATTTATTTTTGATATTGTCGGTTTTAAACTGAACTCAAAATTAAGAATTAATTTTGGAATGCATAATGAAAATATGATTGAAGAAATAATTTTTAAAAATTTTATTATATGCAAATTAGCAATATGAATAATTTATTTATACGTTAAAAGAGGCCCTTATATACCTCGGTATCTTTATATGACAGCTGAACAGAACTAATACAAATGCAATAAGGAAAAAAAAATACCGATATCAACTCCTTCTAAAGCATCTCCTTTGGGCTCTGGTCGAAAATCATAAACACGTCGATTTATTGCCAAGTGTCTCAAGCATCCTCGGAAACTTGTTCGAGCTTGAATTCTGTCGGTTACTAGAGATATGTTAGGAGATCCACCCACATACAAATTCAGACGAAATGTTATTCTAGAAAACAGGCCCTAGAGGAAAAAATGAGATCATAAACTGAAATTCAAACAAAGTAATTTGTAATTAAAAAAATTATACATTAGCATTTGAAACAATATATTTCAGTGGTATTTTTACAACAAAAGTAACAAATCGCAAAAATTTCTTCAGCTTCAGCCACATGCATCATAATGCAGTTATCTAGATACATTTACACTGAACACATTGCACATACTTACACTGAACACATTATACATAAGGACAAAATGTAGTCACTACGCCGCAAAGAAATTTATATTAATGGCACTTCTCCCAAGCAATTAATTTCTTGGTTTTCATTTATCTAAGAAGAACAGGAGCAACGGCAAGCTTGAAATTTTAACTTTCGTAGATGAAATTAGCTTACAGTTGAAGTATAGTAGAATTCCAAACACTTAGATTAAATGGGACTACAGTCCATCTGAATGCTCCAAAAGTTAACACAACTGGGTTGTTCTTTTTCTGTAGGTAAATACGTGTTTAGTATAATGCAAGAAAGAGAACTTCCTTTATTTTTTTATCGTATTCTTTTCCAACAAGATATACAGTTCAAAATATACAGTTAAAAACTAATATATTTTTCTTTGCGTCATTATACAAATTACGTAAAACGATATACAAAGGGATTTTTTTTACGTAAATCCTAAAACTACTCCTTCCTTTTTTTTGATTTTTAAAGAGAAATTACAGCCTATTTACAGTAAGCAATTGTTTTTCATTAATGTTCCAATCTACGCATTGTAAAGCATTCATTTAAATTAATTTAGCAGCTTCTTAAAATGAATAGCTTATTGGACATATATTAATTAAAACGACGAAAAATAGTAAAAACCCGTGAGTACGTTCACAACAAGCTTAATTTTATTTGTCTAGAAAGATGTCTAGAAATAATCCGGAACATGATTCCCGCCTAATTGTCTTATATTAGGTCTAAATGGCCGAGTTTGTGTCGATTTATGTCTTTCAGATGGATACGTCGCAAAAGTGTATTCAATAAATTTAAGCAAAATGTTGATACGCGATAATTTTCCGTTATTTTTTTACATAATATGAATGCATTCAGACACATAATGTTTAAGAAATGGAGAAATATCTTGTTGTAGTACTTTTTGAGTTGTTTTCTTGCTGTGGAGTACTCTATGATAATTGCATCGCTCATATCCACTCCACCCATTTTTTTATTATAATCAATCACAAGCTCCGGTTTCTTTGTTATTATTTTTCTTTTCTCTGTTTTTATTACATTGTCATTATGTAGAGTATTACAAATAAAACTCCCTCTTATCTTTCCATTCGTTAACATAATATACGCATGACGAGTATACTCGTCAATACACAAAATCGTGTCGCTTCTCCATAACGAGTATACTCGTCAATCACAGTTAACTGATTAAAATTGAACGAATAACTTACTAAGAATCCAGTCATGAAGAAACTGACGACAAGTGAAAAGATATAACTAACTGTATTAGAGAAAACAGAAAAATATTTAACAGTAGCTCGCGAGAATGTTCCTTAACATAAGTGGATGCGAAAAGTACATTTTTATTGATGAATATTACATTAAAATTTGTGAAAATGCGACAGCTAAAACATTTAATTTACTACATGTCACAATTTATATGCCTGACACTGTTGTGAAGGGGGGAAAAAGGTAAGCTGAGACTTCAGATTATTTTGTACATGTACACAAAGTAACTTTGCAGTATTATGCAAGTAGTAGAGCTCTTAATCATTCTAAGTTCTTGAAGTGATTCAAAGAATAACAGGTTTCACTCCCTACTGACAAGGAAAGTCTACCAACTTTAAACTCTCAATACTTTTGAAAAACTATACTTGCTTCTGATAATTTGAAAATATACAGTAGTCTGGGGGAAAAAAACCTTCATAAAATGTTATAGATAAGCATAAAAATATGTAGATCACAACAATATTTGGCGATGCAGCATTAATTGGCGATTTTCAAAAATTTCCAAGTCTTATTTCCCGAGTGCTTTTATTGTACAGTAAAAATATAAAATAATAAACGAATAGATACACGGATATCCTCAATTCGCCTGCATTTGTGCCTGTATGAGTTTCATTCTTTTATATTTTATTTATTAGTAATGGTTAACAGCATATTCATTTTCAGACAGTATTTGTTCACGCTCTTTCCACAATTTAAATACGAGCTAACTTAATAAAGCTACCAAGGAAACTTTTAATGTTTTTGAAATGTGAAAACATCTTTTTGTGGAAGATGTTTCATATAGCAGGTTTGCGTTGGGCAAACAATACATGATTTATTTGTTAATCAATGCGCTGATTATGGATTAAATAGATAAATACGAATGAAGTAGAGAAAAATGATCGAAACTCTTTTACAACAGTTATTATATCTAAGTGAATAGAAGTATCAGACTCAGAATTATAAAAAATTGCAATTTGTGTACCAATTGCAAATTAACTGCCAGAGTTTGCTATTATGTAAACATTTACAATTTACTAATAAGCAGTAGCTATTTATAAGTTACTAATAAGTAAAGCGTACTATTTATACTAAGTTACTAATAAGTAAAGCGTACTATTTATAAATTATTAATAAGTAAAGTACAGTAACTTATACGTTACTAATAAGTAAAGCGTACAAAATATAACATCTTCAAAATGTAAGTACACATTTGGTGAAAAACTGAGATGCAATTACGATAAAACAGCGAAATTATTCGCTTCAGTTAGAATGTTATAAATTGAATAAAACACTAAGCAAAACACAAAAAGAAGATTGCAAACGATTCTGGTGAATTTAAAGTTATACAGTGTTAAAATTATCTAAAATATTTATGCAAATTAACTATAGTTGACGATGCAGGCCTTTTACTTTATAATGCTTCAATAGATTGCCAATTTTGCTAGGAAGTTCAGTTATGGCACTCAAGAATTTCATATTTAATAAATTTTATGGATTCGCTATATAAAATTAGCTGCTAATTTTAATAGATTTCCCTTTTCTTGCGTGCAAAAATTAGCTATATTGTTTTTATACCTGGAATTCAAAATTTGAAGACCTTCTTTATGATTTAATGTACACCGTTATTACAGCACACTGCATAGAACAACAGCATAGAACTGCTGTAGATGCTATATCGCTAGTTCGGGTCAATCATACTCGACACTAAAGGAACGCTTCCTGTTCCAAACTGATAAATTCGTCATTTTGATATACATGCTAATTTCAAAAATAAAATAATTTATGGACATTTCATGTTATACTTTACTATGTGTTCCTTTCATTTTGGAAATTTCATGTTATACTTTACTATGTGTACTTACGCTCCCTGTTCCAAACTGATAAATTCGTCATTTTGATATACATGCTAATTTCAAAAATAAAATAATTTATGGACATTTTATGTTATACTTTACTATGTGTTCCTTTCATTTTGGAAATTTCATGTTATACTTTACTATGTGTACTTACGCTCCTTGTTACGGACTGATAAATTTGTCATTTTGATAATACATGCTAATTTCAAAAATAAAATATTTTATGGAAATTTCATGTCACACTTTACAATGTGTTCCTTTCATTTTGGAAATTTAATGTTACACTTTAATATGTATACTTACGCTCCCTGTTCCGAACTGATAAATTCGTCATTTTGATATACATGCTAATTTCAAAAATAAAATAATTTATGGAAATTTCCTGTTACACTTTGCTATGTGTTTTTACAAGCTGATTAAATTTATCAGTTATTCATTCAGAAGTTTTTAGCTATCCCTAATTTTGGAATTTTTCCCTTAACTTTTGGAAACCAATGCACATGGTTACAGATTGCCAAGTATTCAAGCATTTCAATAACAGAACATTTTCTAAAGCATTAGAAAAGAAAAATTTTAGACTTACCTCTTTATAAAATTTGTATTCAACTCCCTTTATTAGCAACATTACTTAGCATAATTAATAATAGAATGCTACGTACTTCATTACTTTTCATTCCCCATTTTGTCTTAGGTGTAAATAATCAATTTCTGCAGGACAATTATTTCTTTATAAAGTTTTGTTTGTTTTAATTAACAGTTACTGTTTTCTACAGAAGATGAAAGCTTAAAGGACAAGTTCACGGTCAAGGTCACGATTGTTATTGCTATTTGATTTTATGCTAATGTTCTAACGCGATTTTAAAGTTGAGAATCTGCCAGCAGTGCCGTGTTTATGTTCAAGTTTTATTGTACGACTGATGAGTGAATGAATTTTAGCTTACGAGAACTGAAACTCGTTCAGCATCATATAAAAAAAGTTTGGACATCAAATGCACAACAGATTCGCATCTTTGCCGGAAAACATAGTTTTTCGGGTTACTGTTTTATAGTAACTTCGTCACGATCAGCAGCAAATATGTCAGAACGTATATTTTTAACTTGCGTAACTTCACATTAATTAACTCCTTTAGCGCATAGTTAGCCGACGTTAGGCAAGTCCTGTGGTTGTCTACTTATTCTGATAAAGCGCATGCTGAGTTGAATATGCCTATGTGCATTCTCATTAGTTACGTATGAAAATCATACACGAATAACGGTTCGCAATGAAGGAATTTTTGAAATCCATACATGGGTTCACGGTCCACGTTTATGGAGTTTTGAGAAACACACTGGATTCATATCACCGAAAGGATTAAAATTAATTTTATTTATATTTTACTTTTGATTTTATTACTTAAAGCTACGTTTGAATTTATTTTAAGTTCTGTTGAAAGTTCAAAACTTGGTATAGATAGCATAAGTCTAGGTGGAGATGTAAATAATAAATAAATTCACTTATATCGCGTTGTAATGATTATTCTTTTAATACATGATATTGTTATTAACCTGCAATGAGTTGAGTTTTAGTACAAATCGAACATACGAAATAAATCTGATGAGTATATTCTATAAGATTATCATTACAGTTTGAAAGTAGTGTACTTCTTAATACAGTTTAAAAACGGTGAAGTATATTTCTTTTTTAACATTTTACGTTATTTTCCGGTTCTATTCGATATTTGTTTTGAACTAACTAAGAAAAAAGATATTTGTATTTTTGAGCAACAAACTTTCAAAGAAGAAATAAGACAAAAAAATTACAACACATATCATTATTAACTTTTTCAAAGACTAGGTCTAGAATGGAAACAAAAAACTAACCAATATGAAACGTAAATGATTTACATCAAAAGTATGAAAGTAGCTTTCAGAAAAGAACTTAATTGTGAAAGAGTGAAATGTTCACCTAAAAGCCCCCTTAAAAAAAAAAAAAAAAAAAAAAAAAAAAAAAAAAAAAAAAAATTTGAATGTGCATAGCATAGCAACAATAGTATGGTATATAATTCACGTTTTAAAGTAATCAAAGGTAATATAAATACAGTGTTTTAAAACATAAAAGACAAGAAAACGTTTTCAGTAAATGCAAACTGTTTTTGATCAGAAGTAATTTCCACACAACTTCATTTCTAAAACAAAGGAGTTTTAATGCGGAGCGACCGTGTAAATTTTGACAAGCAAAATATAAGCTTTATTCCAGTTACTAATATAATTTAACAAAATCTATAATAGTTCCCATACACAAGAAATTGTTGTAATAAAATGCCTTTGACAGTATAGTTACCAATTTCATGCTCAAAGTCTAAATAATAAAAAGCAAATTTTCTGAATTTTCAGCTTCATGCAGAACAAGTGCTAATAATATACTCTAATTTTTTTATATATTTGAACAATGGAAAGGAAAATAGGGATATTCAAACACATTATTTACTAAGTTGTTAACATGAAATCTTACCTTTGATCTTCCCTGAACTTGGCTTCCAGTATTAAGCTGCATCCAAGCATCCCACCTGTCTCTGTAGATTGTTAATGTATTCCACGAACGTAAAACAACAGGTTGATCACTGATAAGTATTCCTTCACCCATACCACAATCAAACCTGAACATCACAAGAATTTCAAGTATAAAAATTTTTTAAATGAAATTTAAATAACAAAGATAAATGCTGCAGATCCATTTCTACTTAAGAGAAGCGACTATTAAAAGATGGAACTAAAATAATTCAAGTTACACTTTTGATAAAATTATTTTTATTTATGATCATGAAACAAGTATTGAATGTTCCAAGTATTTCATACTGATCAAAGATGAAAGGGGCGTGAGATCGTAATACAAAGTTTTATGAACCATGACGGGAAAAGTCAGATAATAGAAATTTTGAAGCAAGGATCAGCTAGACTGCCTTATTATCATTGAATGCCCCTAAGCAGTGCAAGATCTTTTTTTATTACAAGAGCGAACTTTTTACATTTCAGTATCATTTTCAGCCGTTTTTCAAATAAGAGAGGAAACCAAGTCTACGATTAAGTAATAAAATTTTAATGAAATAATAGCATATAATTAAACGGGCTATTGCACTTGTAGAAAATTACTTTAATCTTGACATTTCATTACATACTAGAATACTATTTTGGAGATTGCTACAGATTTCTCTTTGTCTGTGTATGCTAAATGTTGGAAGTTGCAATTATTTAATAATTACTCACAGTTTGAACAGACTGGCATCTTTTCATTTACTTGCTTTGAAAATGAGTTCTGAATTATCAGTTACATACAGGGAAAATACTTTTTCATTCCCACAAGACATGAAATTCAAACATCAAACATAACTTATTGCCTCGATATTTTAAATTTAAAGATTTACATTTGATGCAGTTGAATTAATTAGAAAACTATGATAAACGATTTCGTATTTCTAAAAAAATTGACTTATTTTTTAGGTAATTAGTACTGAGAACACACACCTTTTTGAATTATTATTTGACTATTAGCTAGCAAAAATTACAATTTAATAAGCAAAGCAGATGTTTTGTCTATTTGTTCCGTATTTTAATTACGAATCCAAACGCTAAAGGAAAACTATTTCCAGAGATACAGAAGTTAACATATAGAAGCGTTATTTGAAGAATAATTATCCATTTGAGAAATAGAAAAAGGATACAGAAGATTTTAATAAAAAATAAAAACGGCTAGGTTATTAAAGAATCTCCGCAGTTTCTTTAAGGTATTTAGAAACATATTCAGTTTGAGAAGACTTTCCAACTTCAGAAAAATCACAGAAAATACTAACGAACATGTGACAAACACATCAAGGAAGGACACTGACAACGTTGTTCGTAGAAATTTCTGTAGGCACTAATCAGACATTTCTTTCCCATCTTGTCTCGCTTTATTCAGCAGTTACGCAAGTAGGCATATTCACCCATAGGCAAAATATACACATCTATTATTATAAAAACGCTTCTGAAATGTCCGCATTAAAAATTAACTGGCCAGGCATAAAAAACCTGATCAAAGGCCCTAGATAATCTGGGTACAACCAGATCATCCTATACCACCTTATAATTCTATTCTTCCCTCACGAAAACAAAGAAAGTGGGTGTTCAGGGCCCCTGAAAGACCTCCCGTGCTCGTAAATTTCAGTGCTCGGTTTTCATACTTTAATATGATTATTTTTTTATGTTTAACTTTAAAAACTCTTCTGATTTCTAAAGTTAGAAAACGGCGAGGAGTACAATAAATCATGTGCGATACTAGTTGCAAAAAAGTGGATGATTTACAGCTTTGAAGCAAATTCTTTGGCGCAGCAGCTTGCTATAGACCTCGGTCGCCTTAAAATTATTTTTGTGTCTCTAGTTATTAAGCCTGAGTATTTTGAGGGCTTTCTCCACATAATCCAGGGACCTAATGCACTGCCTTTCTCCTTTGTCCATTGATCTTGCAACTGAAGAACAAATAAAGTTAATAAACGAAATAAAGCTTTAATGAAGATATAACAAACTTATTTTTATTTAAAACGGGAATGCAAAATGTCCTAAGAATTCTTTCGGAAATTTTAAATTTCTTTTCTATATCTTTAATATCTAACAGTTAATTTCATACTAGATTATGGAGACATACTAGTTTTTTGTGTGTTTAATCCTTGATTTTGGTGATAAGTTATGTCAACTAAATTTAATTTTTATAACCATGACAGCAGTTATAACAATAAACTATCTATTATTAGTTTTTGCATTGAAATTATTTCATAAGCAACTAGCGAAAAGGAAATTTTTCAACTCTGTACACAGTTTTAGAGAGGTTAACTTTGCGCAATTCAAAAATGCTGTTATGCAGTCACTTCATCCCGTTTCATTTAAGTAGACTAAGCTCATACTGATTACTGCCCTTATGCTTCTTTTCGTCAGGTAAACGCTCATTCCAGAGGGTTATGCAAATTTTAAGCAGCATAGGTTTAAATGAGAAGTAAATCATCTAGTGTAACCCATTTAATATAATGTAAAGTTTCAGCAAGCTGCTGTGTCTAGATGACTTTAACTTTGTGTTATGTTATTTTATGCTAATCTCATTAGCAGTAAGGAAATAAAGTGTCAGTTAACTTTCACATTTTGTGCTGCTTCTTGTGTCCACAGTCAGAATTTGGCCGTCACATAGAGAACTTTTAAGGGTGAACAGAGCAGAAATAATTAGTTAGGTAGTTAGTCTTCGTTAAATGTTATAACGTGTCAAACAAAATCATCTGAACATTTCTGAACTTTTCAATCAATTTTTCAGTTAGTCTTCAATCCACATATAACTTCAAATAAAACTGTTCTTAATTTTTAGTCAGTAATCAGGGAAAACTTCTCAAATCTGAACAACACATTTTGAAAGTCAAAACAATCCACAATAAATTTTTATTTGAATTAACAAACTGAGCTAAATTCAGGGTTGAATTTTTATTATACCTTAAAATATTAGGTGAAATTTATTATGCCTCTGAAGACAGATTACTCTTTAAAATTAAATTTAATGATTTACTGTATACATTTTTGTTTAATGCTGTAAGAGACAGAGAATATATTAGAAAATAAAAAAATGGGAAATAATCACAGCCTTTTGAACAGTCCTATGAAACTACAAAAATTATTACTGGTTATTTGCAGGAAAATAGCAAACACAAATAGACACACGTATTATTATACTAATGTACTATTATATAACTTTTTAAAGTTTACATTCTAATTTAAGTAACTGAAGCTATGCATTTTAACTTGTTTAAAAGCTGCTTTTGCAACAATTTAGGGACTTTCGATATTGTAAAAATGTTTTTAGAATATACATGTGATCATACTATAGTAATAAAAATCACTAGATAAAGAATGCTGAGAATTACCCCCAAATTTCTGCAGCACAGAATTACATAAATAATTCAAAGAATAATTATTTGCTACATTTATCACCAATTTTCAACCAGCGAAGAGGAAATCTGCCAGTGGTGAGGGATACTTAAAGCAGTTGCTGAAATACATGCTGATGCTACCTGAAGAGGTTGCGGATGGAAAAATATTCATCGTATGAATTATACAAAAAATTGCGTCATATCACTAATCCCCAAAGTGGGGTCTTATTAAAATGAATGGATCAGCATTTAATCATTTTTATTGCACATGTTAGAACAATAATTCTGTATGCAGCACAGTCATTAGCTAAAAGGGAAAATATCAGACACAAGATAGGAAAACCGCAAAGCAGAAAGATTAACAGTAGAGAAGCCAAACAGCTCTAATGCATATTCTAGTGTTAGAGGATCCGTCGTGATTTCTCTATCCTCACTGTTGGAATAATTCACTATCAGCGTCCCGACCATAGCAATTTAGCTCAGATAAATATTGCTCCGAAACTACCTTTACTAGAATGGATACTGCAAACAACTGACGAGGTACTCACTCAATTTCTAAGGAATAGATATTCCTCATCGCTTCATATACCTCCCAGACCTAAGGCTACAGAAACTAACATAAGGCCTTTTTCCTTGTCACTTACTCCAATCCATCACGAACGTACAGTGGCTATTAGATAAACAACCACGTGCTTTTCACTGAATCGTCATCTGGCATTACACGATAATTCTGTCAAAGATGGTGGAAGAACTCAGTAAAAATGAACTCGTTACGTACCTCATTCAATACATAATCCATCTGAAGATTCGACAGCTGACATACCTGCTTATCCAGCAGTTTCATGGTTCAAAGCCTTCTCGTACTAGGCATTATACATTTAATTTGAAATAATAGCAATTTTTCAGCTCTATAGAATTCACAGTTTCCCACTTACAAACGAAATTAATTTTTTTCCTAATTCTCAGACGATTATGTAGTTCCAATTACAACGATAAAAGGTAAGTTACTCTATATACTTGAATACTTATAAACTATTCTCCGATTTAATTCAAATAATTTTCATATGTTAAGATTTCAGCTCCATACTTCTCTAGTTCAATTCCCCCTTCTCAGATTACATAGTAAAAGCATTGTATTCTTACGGTGAAAAATGTTATTAAGTTATGTTAAGCATTATGTTAAGCAATTCATATATCATAGCATACTAAATTTGTCTTTTTCCTAATTATTTGAAAGCAAATAGTACTGTAACTTAAAACATACGTAACTTACAATGTAAGGATTTAAAGGGATCCTCCCATGTGCTCTTGAGGTGCAACGATTAGCATAAAAAGTTAGTTATTCGGAGATCCTGTTTTCCACTCTGTATGAAAGCACAGCTGATTTTTCAGGATAGCTTTGGCCTGAAACTCTTTGTCTCTAAATCTCGAGCCCGAAGTGAAACTAGTGGATTATGAATTATCATCAACTTTGAACAATCTAACGAGAGTCGTTACTTTCTATATATTACCTTAAGACAAAAGGAAAAAATTTAAGGAAGAAAATGCATTGTGGTGACAGAACGATTAGCATATAAGGTGGTTATTCAGAGATCCCGCGTACGGCTTTGAGCAAAGACACAGCGAATTTTTCAAAGGAGGCTCAATCCTAAACTCGTCCTGTCTCTATCAATATTTCCACAATGAAATCAAGATTTATAGTAAATTCCTTTAAATGCTAAAAGAAATGTTAAAGTTCATACAGCAAAACGTAAGTGTTAACATTCTGCTTAAAGTGACAAAAAAGGAAAATACGAGCAACTTTCCTGATATTAAAATTTTATTTACAAGAAACTATCATATTTCCCTTGAATAAAAACTCGGACCATTTATTTAATGAAACTCTAAAGATTATATTTTTATTTATTACTTGCAATTTTTACTTTTTATACAGAAGAATAAAGAAAAAATTGCAGAAGAAACGATGACTTGGCGTACCAAGCTTTGTCGACATTATGTTAAGCATTTAAAGCAACTGGCATTGTGTTTCATATAGAATTTCTTTGCAAATAAATTTTGAATGCGGCAAGGAAGGTCTGTTAATCTCGAATTCTCAATATTTATTAATATATTTATATATATTAATCCCTTTCTAAAGACACATAGTGATAAAAGTTAGCTGCCAAAATGTTACTATAACAAATAAAAATATCTAACATATAGAACTATTTATTCCCAACGGTATTTTATTCATTTATACTTTATTTATTAGTTACTGTTGGTAATATATGCGTTTTTACTCAGTATTTGTTCACCCTTTTACATAAGTTCACACAAAATATATATTTAGCGAATCAGAATTAACTTAATCACATTGAAAAGCAAAGAAGAAATTTAAGATTTGAAAAATGCGACCAGAACTTGATAAAGTTCTGAAAATAAACTTATTGCTTAGATTTTGCTTGACCAACGATTCTAGTATGTCAGCAGAAAGTCAGTTACAGGACATATATAAACAAGTGAAAGAATCCTATATACAAATAGAATTATGTCAAATGGCCGTACAGACTTCTATATCTTTCTGGTTTGTTATTTAAATGGTTACAAGTATACAGTCTGATCTAGTATTTATACGTGAAGCTTTATAGTGGAGTTGCCGGGAAGTATTTCTGGTAATGGATGATGATGCATGACATACACACAGAAACACTCGCCTTAAGCATTGGCAAAGTGAGAGTATAACTTAAACCTCAATGAGCATGTTTAAGATGATTAAGATTTAAAAATTTCATAACTCCAATCGTCTCCTAAGAAAATTCAAGAGGCAAAACATGTGCGTAATAAGCGGAATTTCTGCTCATTAAATATTTTCAAAGTTCATATATAAAAAAGCAAAAAATCGTTGAAAGTTGTATGTTGAATGCCATGCATCGCTGAAAGGGTAATCCTGTATCGTATTAAAATTTTAATTTGAATTCGTATACTTTTTGTATGTATAGTTATTTAATCTCTCTCTCTCTTTTTTCATTTCATTAATTAATTTACTTTTTATCACTGCGTTATAAAGCAAGTTAATTTCAAAGTTGTATAATATTTTATTTTGAATTTCATGAACTGTGAGAACACAGATTTTGGGCAAATTTCATGTTTCTCTCTGATAGCTTATGACAGTTTCACCATTTATATTAATTAATTTTCACTCCACCGTATTTAACACTGAAATCTTCGACTCCACTGTGTTTAATACTTTCAATGATAAAATGGGTAAAGAAACATCGTTAAGGGAGAGGAATTTAAGCCCCTGCATACTTTGACCAATATGATTTCGCCTTTATTCACAGTAAGCATAACATGCAAATAATAATATTATCATAAAATTGTAAACTGTTTGGAATTAATTTCACAAAGAGGTGCGACACATTTTAATGAAAAGTGGTCTCCCCTTTTCTTTTTAAGAATCAAAATTTATTCTGTTCTAGAGCATTGATTCGAATATCGTAAGATTCTTGGGGGAGAGGAATTTAAAAAGAAAAATAGGTTTCGCTTTAGTTGAAATTAACGTCAGATCAAAACTCGAATTTTGCAACTGATAAAAACTTAAATTAACGCTAATTTTATATATTTCTATAATTAGAATGCTATACTTTTTATACATGCATTACGAACTAATTATTTATAAACAATAATTTCAATTTATTTCTAAACGTTTAAAGTAAAATACAAGTAAAGAGCAGTGCTTCAAAATAAATAAAACTGATTTAATATAAAAATACTAAATATTTTTACAAACCTGAATTCAATAAAGCCTTTGTTTAATGTAATAGATATAAAATCTCCGTGAAGATCAAATTTCTCACCACTGTATAAAATAAGGCCATCATTAGCTTCAGGCCTGAATTCCAGCGTAACTTGCATTGATTTATGAGCGTCCCTCAGAATTGGAAGAGCAAGATAAGAGCCATCATGGAACCTTGGGTATTTTGCTTCGACAGCTAAGAAAGTAAAATAAATTACATTTAGAATTTGTGCAATACAGTGAAGTGCATGTTGTTAAAATTTAAAAAAAAAATAGAAGCTTTTAATCAAGAATAAAAACAAAATATTACTCAATATTTTTAACAAAATATTCTGAAGAAAAACTTCTCAGATAAAAAAAAATTATTCAATAATATTATGATGTTTAAAAAAACATCTTGGTACATATTTGAGCGGTATTCGGGTCTGAAAGTGATCTTTTCATGAAGATAAAGATAACATGGTAATCGAAAATATAAACCAAAAGACTCGTTTGGATTTTTGTTGCAAAGTTAAGTTCGCGGAATGCTCTAAGTTTAGTACTTACTGAGAATTCTAAGTTTATTACTTACTGAGAATTCTAAGTTTATTACTTACTGGAAACTCTTAGAGTTTGCAAATTATTGAATTCAGGTCATTTTCTCCCTTAGATATGGGATCGCCACCTAATTAACGGATTTTCAGTTTCCCTTATTTCATATTTATTTGCAATTTTATACCCCTTTCCTCTTAGCAAATTACTCAAGCCATGCTGTACCATGAATCTCACAAAACGGCAGTTAGGTTAGATTATTTGGATATGCAAAGCACATGAGGGCTATTTGCCTAAAACGACAGTTAGTTAACTGATAGTTACGTAACTAATATCTGGAAAAGAGGAAATAAAACCCATATAGTTTCCTTCAATGCAATTTCATTCGCTATGAAGAAAAGTCGATGAAATTAGAACTGAAATACGAGACATTGAATGATCCCTCCACACGCGAATACTTATATGTTATCAGGATCGCATTCCTCAACTGACATACGAAAAGCCAGGCTTTTTTAACAGCATTTGATTAAATGCAATAAAGAATGTCAGGGATTTCTTACCGTAAAATACGCCAGAATTTCTTACTAAAACTACTAGTCTTTCTCCTTTTTCCAAAGTGGTCTGTTTAACTAAAAATAATTATAACTTGAATCTGAAATCAATTGTTATTAACTTATATTTTAGAGTTTTCTCACATTTTTCCAATATTCAGCAGAAAAACAGACAATTATCTTCTAAGCAGATTAATAGTATGGCCATTCTTTTTATGATTATTTATATTTCCCACGTAAAATAATTTTCACTAAATAATGAATTGCTTGAAACTGCATTTATATATCCCTAATTATTTTGTAATTTATATTCTTATAAAAAAATGAGATCTGATTCCCACTGTAGTATCGAATTACACTTAATGTACTATAATCCTTTTTTATACGAATTAGAAAGCTACTGTTTCATTTAAAATGAAATTAAAAGTTAGTCATAACTTTATTCATACTGAGATATCACTGCTTTTATTGACCATAAATGAAATTAGAAAAACTTCATGCAATGAAATCAGTGTTTTAGAGAAGTAGTTTGATGAGCAAAGGATGAGAATTTACTTTGAATTTTCTTAAGCCAGGCATTCAAACATTAAATTAATGAACTTTTCCTATTGAAACGAAAGTCAGGATCACAGTAAGCTTATGGAAAATGATTACTTAAAGAAAATAAAGTATAATTATTTCCATTTATGATAACAAGTTGCAAAGCTATGCTTCATACCAAGCTATCAGCTATGTATATGTCGTGCGTAAATTTATTTTCACGAAAGTATTATAGATAATTAGAAAATACTTTCTCATTCAGATAACAGCAATTAGCACAAATGAAGCATAAGATTCATAAAAGTACTCGTATATGAGTACTCGAAGAGAGAAATAGAAAAATGCGAGTCCCTCCATTAGAACTACAATTCCAATCTTAAGTTAGTTACTCAATTCGAGCTTTAATAATAACGCCTTTGAAATATAACCATAGAAATAATAAAATAAGATTTCTTTGTTTTCAGTATTACAGAAATGCAACAATACAACATGGTTAAATATTTACATTTAACACTTAATTAATTTAGATGCGCATGTAAACTTATGATCTCTGTTTGGAAATTAAAATACGAGATTTTACTTCCTCACCCTCTAATTTTACACTACGCATTCTGGCCCTGTATTTCCTCTTTCCAGATTTTAATTTTACTTATTAGCGCTTTTTCAGGTTTTTTAGGTAATTATAGAAAAACAAAATACGCAGTCTTATTTATGATTCGTGTCGTGCGCACACCGTAGTGAAAAATAAAAAGTAAAACAGCAAAAAACTACGAGTCTCATTGGTCGACTTTTGCGTAAAATTTTATTTCAGCGCTACGTCTGAAATATTTCATTCTATCAAAGTTCAAAAGTTTAATCTTCTATAAGAATATGCAAGTTAGGAATGCAATAATCAAATGCGAAGGAGAGAACTGGCCTCAAAATATCGATAACTGCTGTTATAAAAATGTTCTTGTTACTGAGATTAAATATTAACTATTTCGAGTTTGAATACGAAATAGTAAATATTTAATCTCAGTAAAAAGTCAAAGAAAAGGATTTTAAATGATTACAAGGAACGTCAGTTGATTAGATAATGGAAGACAGACAGAATCAGTCAGAGGGATGAAAAGTGTTTAAATACACATTGAATTGGAATCAATAACATTTATTAAAGAACACAGAATTTTGTGAATGTTAAAAGCTTCAAAGGAAATCCAGAAGCTCTGTGAAAAACTCGCGGAACCAAAGTGTGGTCCTAAGTTTTTAAAAATTTTCTTTTCAAATGCATAATTTTGAATATTCATTAGTTCCCCAGCTATTGCAAATTTGTTTATTTCTTCTTTTTCAAGCATTATTTAAACTCAAATTATTTGAAAAATCGTCTTCCAATTTTTGGATTGGCAACTCTGATGAAATTTTTGCGCTTTTAGCGGTATTAAAGAAGATTTAACAAATATTTTATCTGTTATAAATTCGATTGGTAAAGCCATTCAATTTACTTTTAAAACAATCAGATAACTACCTTCCTTTCTTTGATTTTCTAATTATCTGCAATGAACCTGACTTCAGCACTCTTGTTTGGAACCTTTTTTTGCCTCCCCTTGCCATCCAGAGTCGTAGCGCGCCCAGGGATAGCTGAAGATTTCGCACCCCCTCCTGCATGCTTAAAATGGAAAATATTTAATTCAAAAATATCGTATCATTAGTTGGCTCCCCCTGGAAGCTGCGCCCAGGGACAAATGTAAGGACGCCTTTCCCCCTTACTCATTGCCTTCATGTTAATCTGCTAAAGAAAAATGGCTTTTTTTTTTTTTTTTTTTACTCTTACATCTGTCGTGCTCTCACTGTTTGTTCTTTAGAATTTTTGCTTTCTCAGGGATTAAAATCGATTGCCATTAACAAAGAACTTCCTTCTACGGTCATTGATAAATTATTCAAAAAATTTTGCTTTTGTCCATATTATCACTAAAGAAATATTTTTACAAATAACCACAATAACGTTTTTATACTATCTGGTCTTTCTATCAGTTACAAAATTGCTCGAATTCTTGAAAAGTTTAATTTTCATGTAATTTTCTTATCTATCTGTAAAATTCATTGTTCGCCTCCTAAGGATTCCATCTTTGATCTTATTTCTCGAAGAATTAATAGTATATCTTATAAATGCGATTTGACATTAATCGGCCAAACTAACACAGATTTCAGATTTCCCACCAAAAAACACGAAGCCTAATATATTCGAAAAGGAGAAATAAACGAATTTTAGGTAATTGGGAATTTAACTATAATTTGGTTTTTTGAAAATCATCCTTAATAGTGAACTGGATTTCCTTGAAACTATTCACATTCACAGAAACTCACTTCCTTTATTTCTTATTACGGAAGCAAAATGCTTGCGACATTAATTCCAATCCAGTGTTTTCTTCGATAGGTGACGCTACGTTTCTTTCCGCTTTGCTTCTTTCCGCTTTGCTTCGTCCCTTGATTGTTATAAAACAAAATTTGCTACTATTTTTACCTTTGCAAAAATGCTTTTCTCCTGAAGGAGATGGACCTATGTCTGGTTACTCTCGAAACCGATAGAGTTTATTCAGAATCTACGTCTATCTAAAATTGCATTTTATGCCTCTTTTAAATTTTACTGGCGTGTTTTTCTTGTACTTATCTAACCTGTACTATTTGGAAATTTGTGTCGTTAAAACATTACAATCTTTTAACTATGTCTTGATTAAAAAAATAAAAAAAAAGGTTCGGTAACATATTATAATCAATATTTGAACAAAATTCATTAAAAACTGTTTTAGGCAATGACACTGCTATTTTTTCTTTGCAGTTTTTGAAGTTTTAGGCGTAATTTGGACATGATTAACTGCTGATATTACACACAAGGTTTACCATCACAATTTAAGTTCACTATTAAACCCTTCTACACAGAAAACCACTGGACAAACAGAAAACAAAATAAACGAAAAGGGGTGTGGGGTTTTTAATATCTATGAACAATAACATTAATCATTAATTTATAATGTTATTATTGGTGAACTGTTTTTCATCGTATGTAACGCAAATACGAGCATAGTTTGCTCAGAATGTTCTCGACAACGGCGTCTCTTCTTTAAGTGCCAACCAGTGGACGAGCGGTAAGACCGTTGACCATTGGTATATCTAGCTGGATTCATATCCCGGTGAACGAACGTTACATGGGAGTTTTTTCATTGTTTTTTTCCTATCTGTAGCATAAACACAAGCCAAGTTTTTCTTATGCCAGGTCTTATGCCGGAACAGCTGCGTTTAGCAAATTCCAAATAATAGTGCATTGCATTTTCGGTTGTTTTTCTCTGTAATTCTTTGCAAATCAAGTGGATGATGATATGTGCTTGACTTTGGCACATCTTGTCGATATACACGGCACAGTTTCAGTTCACTAGGAGTGGAAATGTAAGGAAAATAAAAAGAGGTTGAGAACGATTTTAGGGCCTATATTTTTACTTCATAAATGTGATTCTAAGGATTTGTTTTAAGCAAAAGTTCTGAGTTTTAACACCTGAGAGAAAGGTACATGGTCTTCAATGAGCTTAGAAGTAAGAAACTG